CCGACCTATGTAGCTGACCTCACTCACAGTGATTGCAGGGTATTTTGTAAATCATATTATTCTGTTTAATTGGGTCCACCGGGTCTTTTAGCCTACAGAGCTTGTCTCTGAGTGAGTTTGTAGGTTTGAATGCCACCCTAATTCCTGCTTTATTTGAGAATCCTACGTAGGACCTCAGATTGTTAAAAGACTGCTGAGATGAAAGTGTTTTCTCGCATTCGTTTCTTGATTGTCTAAATGTTATGAGTTTCAAGTAAAGTCAACTTTGATTTTAGCAATAGGTTTTACGTGTCACAGAATTACAGGTTATATTATTACTGAATTATATCTTATCTTTCCAAGCTTAGAATGACATAGTTGGGTAAGACTAGTCTATGAAACTTTAAAAGTATATATATATATATATATATATATATATCGTACAACTTTTACGTGAGCCTTTCCTCCACTTTTCGTTTAGCTTCAGTGTTTATTCACTTTTAAGATATATAAACAGTCGGATTTAATGTTACCATTATATTTTTAGTTTACAGTATGGTATGCTGCATGAATGATTATCACTTAGTGAACGAGTGGCAATCTAAACAACTATTATGCTTATTGTTGTTCAGATATGCGTGTTTATGAGTCATAATTTGTTTCTACGTTAATTGATAGTGTTGCCTTACCAATTCATCCTTAACTAAATATTGTACTTAGTTCATTTCATTTTGCATGAATTTGCTGAATTCTTTTAAAGCCAATTTCATTAAATATACTGATGAAATGACAATTTTTGTCCCAGTTATTTCTGCATTGGATTATTCTGATATGAATAGTTTCCTGTCTGAGGTTAACCGATAGTCTTAAACTGAACGCCTCAAAATGTCTAACTGCTAACTTTAGTTTTAGGTATGAACAAGACTTCCGTAGAATGACTTAGTCCCATGAATCTTGTATTATCGATGGCACTGCAGTAGAAAACCAATATTTGAAAATTAATCTGATGCTCACTAGCGACTGGCCCTATTCAGGCAGTGAGTGACCTGGGGTTCTAGTGGGAAGCCGTGACCAGTAGGGTACAGCAGGTTGAAGATGAGGCAGTAACTCATCGAAGAAGACATTGCGAAATGGTCGCGCTATGTCGTGAATTGGCAGAAGTTAGAATTCAAGGAGGCCATTGGATCGGGTCCCATTGGCTCAATGGTCTACGAGCTTGCCTTGTAACCAGAAGGTCCTGGGTTCGAAACCCCGGTGGGTGCGTACTGATGAAGAGCCCCAAACTAGGACGAAACAGCTGTCCAGTACTCCCAGGTTCTCTAACTGATGTCAGCTCATGATGAAATCGAATATAACCTATCTTGGCATAAGTTTCAACACATATTTATAGATTTTAATGTACATTATTGTAAGTAGAGAATACAGTCTTTTGATTGGTTGTTTCTCACAGAAAGTTAACCTTGCATCTCTTTGTGGCTGTGTCAGATCATCCGTATGCTAACTGTATCCGCCTACGCAAAGCCTTTGTTCTCATTTTCCCACCACCAATATTGGGGACATAAACATTGATGTCAATTACTGTCTACCAACTTTGTCTAGCAGCCAGCCCTCACCACAGTATGCCTTTGACCCATCTAACTGATGGGCATTTTAATTTTTGCAAGCAGTTGGCTAGACTTATCTTGTCGGATACTGAACATCCTCTTTATTCGCAGCTTCATCTCTTCGGGTAAAACCAGTAGGAATTTCATAAGAATTTATGCTCGTATGACCAAATATAAAAATTCAACCATAGCACAGGTGTTGTGTGAAGAGACAAATGCCAGAAATGGACTTATATCCTGCTCTATATTTTGTAAATAAACAGCAACTTATCACCAACATTATTATTACAAATATGCTTCTTCTATTAACCTCTGTTTTTGTAGTTTTATTATTTTTACTTTTTTGTTTACTTCTTTATTTGTAAAAGGAGGTAAATTATTGTAATATTTACAAGGCTGAAAATTCCATTCTGTATAAAAACTATTGTTTGGAATAAGGTGATTAATACTATTATTATTACTTATGCATAAGCAAGATATCAAACTGCAAACAACTAGAAGTCAACATTCAGTTGTTGTTATAAGTAGGGGTATTTCAGAAATACCCCTACTTATGAATTATCAAAACACTTAGCTCTAATATTATGCCCCATTAGAAATCGTTCGAACTCTAGACTAGCTAATTCATATGAGATGAAAAATAAACTAAATGACATTCAACTAGAGAATGATGAAACAATGGTTAGTTTTGATATAACTAGTCTTTATACTAATATACCAATCAATATGGCCTTAGAAGCAGTTAAAAAAGAACTAACTGTGGATCCTGAATTCAGTTGTTGTGATTATTTAACGCCTCTATGTTGAGCTTTCCTCTTCAATATACCACGAGTCATAGTTACTGATTTACCATGACAAATATCTCTTAAATGGACTATATATTATGACAGGCTTCCTCAGAAACAGTCTCGTTGTCAGTATCAGACTTTGTGTTCTCATCAAGTTTGATGTGTATCGGCTTCAAAGTTGCTTGCTTCCTATGTTCGTTTAGTCGTACATGTATATATATATATATATGGACTGGTGCCTACGCAGATGTTCCACGAGGAAAGGTAGTCTTCTGCCGACCCTCTTCATTGATAGCTTATATTCACGTGATCTATTTGTGTTCACCATTGGTCTGATGATAGATGTCACTAGGTGAGGCGATGTCTCCCCTTATGTTTAAAATTGTTGCTGACTAGGAACAGATGATTATCTGGACAATTTGTAAGTGACGACCACCGTCGGTATGAGACTCCATAGCTGACACCAGTATACTTTTCTGTAGCCGTGCATGCAGCAAAATGCATAATTAAGCGACGCCATTTTAATAGTTTACATCTGATCAACTGCAAGACACATTTAGAGAGAACGTTGTTCCAAAGAGCAGCAAAGTTGCGCCCCAAAGTATATCATTAAGTCTAATTGAAATTAATGAAAAGAAAACACGTAGTTCAGCGAAGAATCTCTTTTCGATGAATTCATTTTCTTAGCTGTACAATCGCATATATATGGGTTATTTTGTATGTATGTGGACAAAGTTTGTCAAACACATACATACAAAATAACCCATATATATATTGCGATTGTACAGCTAAGAAAATGAATTCGGCGAAAAGAGACTCTTCGCTGAACTACGTGTTTTGCTTTCAGTAATTGAAATTAATTTGACAGTTTGCACTAGACAAGTGAAGAATTCCACAATCGACAGAGGATAACACGAATATGGTAGCCCAGTGAAAAAAATTGACTTTCTTATGACTATTTTTTAAAGTGACGACACCCCAAATCTAGGAACTAAGTGCCTGAATGGTACTACTACATCACATAAAATGCCCAGTCTCTCAGTCACAAGTGGACAAAATTTAAAGTCATCATACTTTGAAATATATTTATGAATTCTGTCCTGTATGCAGAAACAAGTACAGTAGAGACGATTATTCACGTAGATTCTTAAGCAAATGTTGAAAATTATATGGTTGGAGGCAATCGGCAGGAAGCCTTGGACCTAGGTTTCGTGCTAGTTGGCACTCTTCAGCAAGGCGTATCTGCAACCTTGAAGGAACTCATGTCCCTTCTGAGATTCGAATCCGCGTCACCCAGTGCTGCAGTCAGAGACGTTACCACTGAGCTATTCGGGCTCTGCACCAAAGAGAGGACTAGACGCATCACACTAGTGTCAAATCAAATGTTGAAAAACTTAGATGTTAAGGACTTAATAAACTGTCATATACTTGACAAAAGACATTGAAGTCCTAGGGTACTATTAATAAACAAAGCATATTGTTAGAGGAGCACCCGCTACTTTGGTAATGAGTGATGTCTAAGGCTGATTTATCCTTTTTTCAACAAATTTTTTACCCAGTTATCACTTCCCCCATTATGACGTAAACACACTTTCTCAGCACTACATTGTTTTCGATCACTCTAGAAGATTGATTTTCTCGTCTAAGAAATAAGTAACTACTATCATTTGTATTCAAGTATTGGTTTGTAGGGATTTGTTTGATTGGTTACAGGATTTCATCATTAGCTGACATTGGTTAGAGAACCATTGGAAAACCACCTGGGAGTACTGGACAGCTGTTTCGTCCTAGTTTGGGACTCTTCATCGGTACGCACCCACCGGGGTTCGAACCCAGGACCTTCTGGTTACAAGGCGAGCTCGTATACCATTAAGCCACTGGGACCCGATCCAATGGCCCATGAATTCTAACTTCTGCCAATTCACGATATAGCGCAACCGCTAGCCAATGTCTTCGGCGAGTATTTGTCCTCACACCCAACCTGCTGCACCCTACTGGTCACGACTTCCCACTGGAACCCTAGGTAACTACCTACCTGAATAGGGCCAGTCGCCAGTGAGCATCTCATTGATATTCAAGTATTGGTTTGTAGGGTTTGGTTTATATATACAAGACCTTTTAATACTTCTTTTTCATTCTGTATTATGAAAACCTTAGGTTTAGTAAACAATCTGTAAGCACTTTGCTGATATGCATGAGTTTATCATTTGTACTGTAATCTGTTGGTGTTAGGACTCTCGCCGACCATGTACATGGTCCGGGGTTCGATCCCCTGCCGGTGCACACCCGATATCTATGGTCGGCCTGCAAAATTGGGCTACCGATATCACATGCTGAAAATTCCATACTTGTACCAAAAATACGGTGTGGAATCAAGCTATAATAAAAATAAAAATAAGAATTCAATGAAGAAAATTCATTTCATCGTAATTTATAAATACTGTTATGATTGAACTGTTCGAATTCATCACATGAAATAAATGTGTGAGTGATTAATTTTACTTGAAGCTTATACTTTTAGTTCACTATAAGCAGGCTAAAATGAACGATTGTTTGTCCTACTTATTTTTTGTCTTTCAGTTAGCTTGATGGTAAAAGTTAGTACAACCTAAAAAACATTTTATTAGTAGTAATTAATAATTTGAGACTATAAAGTTGACTGAATATTATAATGAACTTATGTACTGGAATATGAAAATAGTCAGTGAAACATGCAATTCAAAGGTATATCATTCATCAACAACATACATTATACATGAACAACTACTCAATTAAACTTTTCTCAAAGGTATAAAGGTAAAGTGATTATCGAAAATAACTGTTGTATAATTAGAACAATCAAAAATTAAAACATTTCAAGTCTCAGAAACACTTTGATTAATTGTAAATATATTTATAATAAGGAAACCATTTTATTAAGAGGAATTGGTGTTTCCATCAACGGGTTAACTAATATAAAGAAAACATTGTTTAGTAAGAAAGCATGTGCAAAACAATAAAATCACACCCTTGTAAGCATAAGTAGGTATGGAGAATTTTTTTTTAATGAGATCGTCGGACTGTGTACGGTATTTAAATAACCATGGTCATTCAAGTAAGTACATAATTTTTTTTAAACAAGAAAAAATACGAAACTTTTGAACACCATATTAAAGTATACACAAATGAACAAAAATGTATTTGTTAGTTTTTCTTATAAAGTAGATACTTGGAAGTACGGTGAAAGGCGATAAAAAAAGTAAATTATACTGTAATATAGAGACATAAATATTAAAAACGACTTAACATCGGGATGAGGGAAAGACCTAAGAGTTAAATAATACTTTGTATAAATTCATTGTTCAATGAAATGCTTATTGAATGGAAAAGAATCAATTGTTGATATTAAGGGTAAACTTTACAGTAAAACGAAAGGAAGAAACAAGCTCAGAGGTAGATAGAATGATGGTGATGATTCAGCAAACAGAAATTCAAAATACACTGGAATTGATGAAAATGAAGGTATTTTCTGTATACATTAGACAATAAATTAGTTGAGTACCGACATGAAACGAAACAGTTATGAACCGCAAGATTAATTTGAATTAGGGCATTTCTTAACATCCAAGTCCATCATAGAATCAGTGATCTCCTTTGCAATGAATGCATTAGGCTGAATCTGATGATCACCTGGCGAATTTGTACACTCAACAACACCGGAAGGAATTAAGGATTGGGATACAGAAGATGATACAGGAGATGACCGCGAAACATGAGGAGAAGGTGGAATTGATGAAGGGCTACTAGAATTGTTTGAATTTGTAGTTAAAGAGAAAAGTTGACATGAGGGACTAGAAGGGCTGGAGACCGTGGGTAGGCTCGGCGGCCAACGAAAGTAAGGAAAGTCAGAACAAGAGTTGCTTCCATTACTGTACACTCGGACGTCATTTTGACATGAAGACTTACTGCTTTTATAACCACAGAAAGATTCTGGAGACCCTTCACGACTGGCATCGTCACTAGATCCACCACCGCCACCCGACATACAAGATAAGTAACCTCGTTTGCGCCCGAGTGCAGCTGAAACAAGTAAAGGACTTGCACCACCAGTGCTACTGAATCGTCGTGGGTTAGGGGAGACGGTAGAAGTTGAGAGAGATGGTGAATAACACTGAACGCGTGATGAAACGGGAGATGCAACAGGAGATGGATAACATGAAGAGGGCCGAGAAATATGAGGCGGACTCAAAGGTATACCTTTGTTACCACTCGGAGTCACAGGAGGACCACTGCCGGCAGGATAGGAACAAGTTACCGATATTACCAATGGTCCACTGAAAGAACTCGGGCGATGGCTAGGACTACTATTCACGGAAGTAGAAGAAGAGGATCCTTCTCTGTCACCTGATTCAGTACATGAAACAGTCAAACCAGCCCACGACGAAGACAACCGAGACGTCTCAGTTAGGAGCTTCTCGTGTTTAACTTCATTCTCAACATGATCCTCAGCAGTCACATAATACTGTGCCGAGCAACGTCTGACGGCTTTACGTTTTAGCATAGAATTGGTGAAATATATACAGGTATCACAGTAAACAAGTGTTTTTGCACTTGAAAAGCATAGATAAACAAAATTTTAAGAAGTATTCATTCATTTCAACTTTTAATATATGCAGGAATCTTCTAATCAGAAATGTTTAGGTATAATTGAAGGATTAGATTATTCATACATATAAGAAACATGTGGTAAAATACGTGATTCTGATGAGCTGATATTACCAGTACAACTTGTTGTCAAATAGGATAAGTTTTATTGCTCCAGTGTTACACAGCTTTTCAGGATACTGAAAAAACAAAACAAAAGCTATTTGAAAAACAAAATAACTAAAGCAAAGAACTTAGCTGTTTTAATTCACAAGTGTTTACTTAAGTATTTGCATCTCATTCTAATAACCAATTTTACGCATTTTAACCTGATACCATATTTATCGAGAACGAATTTGATATCAAATCCATCAAATGTCTAGGAATACCCAAACACCTCTACATTTATACATTTGGCTTCATCGGCATTTCTTACTGCCACCACGATTTTTTATTTGTGTTGGGTACAGAACCTTCACTCGGTAGAGGAATGTTAAATATGCGTTGTACTAATAGTGTGATATTACGATATTATTATACATTTATGCGAAAAAAACTATTTAAACGAATATCATTATACTAGTAGCTCAATGATGACAGTCTGAGGACCAGTATCTCATACACAAACATGTAATGGTCACCATATGAATTGCCACAGTTTTGTTTCTATTCGATGCAACCTTTATTGATTACATGTAGGCCTTCAAAGGCTCGTAAAATTTATACCAATGGCAAGGATTGACGAACCACAATATGTACACTGACATTTGTAAGTTAAAACCTTCATTCTTTTATTGAATAAGTAAACACTGACAAGGGAGATATCTCGGAAAAAGGTCTTCATTAGGTTGCCTTACAAGGGTGACTAAATTATTCAGTTGACTAAAGTCTTATTTAAATACCTAAATACGCTTTTCAGAAGTCATCACATGACAATTTTGTCTTTCGGTGTCCAGTATACAGATTTTATTGACTCTGTATTATACTAAGAATTAGTACAAAATAGTTCTAACGCTTGATACGAACAGTACACATGCCAAACTTTGGTTAGAAGTACTATAAATGCAACATTGTCAATCAGCTTTCATCACGGTAGCAAGTCAAACTTTAAGTATGGACTGAAATTCGCTGAATAAAGCACCACAAGTGACCAATAATGCGGAATTACGGACAAACAGACAGTAAGTAGTTGTTATTTTACGCCAAGCAGACAATTCGACAGAGAAAACTAACAGCTTAATGAGTGAATTATCAATGTAGAACTTTGCACAAAAGTTCAGTAGTCTAAGTCACTGCACTTCAGAAAAGTGCTTAAAAGTAGAGGAAAGAAATATGATACAAGCAACTGAAAATATGCGAGGAAGAACAACTAGATTTCCAGAATTTGGAAGGCTACAAGGAGTGAATAGTTAGTTAGAACACAGTCATTTCGGGTAACTTTTCTACGTGACATAGTATGAGCCACACATTGTGTGATGCTGACAATACTACCCAGTGACCTAGGCTGAGCCATTCGCTGACAGTTGAGTGACTAATAAGACAACTTTCCAAGGAGTGAATACATCTGTAAAACTTGGAACCATGACATGAACAGTCTTCAATCGTTGATTCTCAGTATTTCGATGAATCCAACCGCGTAGTTTTCACTTTCCTATGTAGTTTAAACTAGCAGTTAAAGACTTGTAATGAAAATCACACCAAAATCGGACACCTACATCTAAATTAACATAAATAAAAGAATTTATGGGTTCTTGTCGTTTTCGTCTGATCATTCTTAATCCTTTTCCAATTTAATCTTGCTTCAGATAATATTGGTCATCAAAGGTTGGAGCTCAGCACGGGTGACATCTCCAAACCGTTTAAGTTAATAGGGCCGCACTAACTAAGCAACTTACTTTACATCCTTCTCTCACACTCTACTTCATTATGACTTCCAACACTGAAGACACCTAACAACTACAACCGCTACCCTCTTCATGTCTCCGACTTCCAACAGCAACCTACAGTTCAAATTATAATAAAACATAAATACATGTGAATCACAATCACCGATTTTGAGGCATTCCATTTATCGATTTCTACTGTAGAATCTAACTTGGAATCAAAACTGAATTGTAGACACCAGAACAGTTATGTTCAACAGAAAATGCAACAAGATATATCCCTAGTCCGCAAAGTCACACTGTTGATGAGTTAACTTGCTAAGGTGTCAGATATCAGATTTTAAAAGGTGTTCCTTAAAAAACAATGCACTGGCGCAGGTGTATTTCCTCCTCACATGTATTCCCTTCTATTATTCGGACTTAATACTGATTATCACATTGTTCCAATCACCATTTACTCTGCTGTGCTGTTATATATGTGAAAAGAAAATTGGATGAGACCGTTACAAAATAATACCAAAAACTTTGTCACTCTGTTTCATGCACACTGTTTCGAAGACAAATATATATTCTCCAAACCCATTATAGCTCCAAAAAAGAATTTCTAGATAATACCTAGATCGGGGTGCGTGGCATACAGTTTGGGCGCTTCAGCTAAAAATTTAGTCCTGTAATGTAACCTATGAGTGCTGAAATACGACGTTCAGCAGTTTTCATTTCCTCATACCTACTTATTTTCACTCTTGCACATAAAATTAGAACTTTGGGAAAGCCGTACTCCTAGTAGTTTGTTTCATATGAATTCGAAGGAGTAGAAAAGGTATCTATTGATTTCAAAGCAAATTCCTGAAAAAGCTTTTTACTATTCAGTTGAAATTTTAGTGAAAATAATGACCGTTATCAAGATAAAATTATATACAATTTTAAAAATTATACTTTCACGCTTATAAGTCGGCTGATGTGCAGAAATGAGGAAGCTACGTTTAAGACAAGTATACGTCTCTTATGGTGTATCCATAGTTTAAGATTTCTTTATAAACAGCAACTCTTTAGACAGGAGTCATCCAATTACGTTTACACAGTCGGGTAGCCAACTAGAAGTCTCGATGTAGGTAGATTATAGGATATTGCTGCCAACAAAACTTTCAGCCCCGTTATTTAAGAATTACCAAGTAAATCTCAACGTCTTTAATACACCAGAATTTCAGAAAATATCTCACAAATTAATGGAGCGCATATTTTATTTTGAACACCATATCTGAATCAATATCCAATGGAAATGATTCAGATTCAGATGATAAGGATAGAAGGCTCTTGTGGCTAGTGTCAATCCTTGCAAATATATATATATAGAGATCAAACTTCTTTTTGAAAGCGTTCACCGATGGAGCTGATACTACTGAATCAGGTCAGGAGTTCCAGTCGTTGACCACACTGTGGAGAATCTAAATTCTGCACGTATTTTAATCGTCCTCAGTTTGAGCAACTTTTCGCGGTGACCCCATAAATGTATCCTAGGAGGGGAGAAAAGGTTAGAAAGGTCAGTTCCTAAATCACCCTCGAGTGTACGGCATGCTAAAATTAAGTCGCCTCTCTTCCTTCGGTTTGATAATGGGAAGAGATTTAAATGCTCCATCTTTTTATCACAAGAAAGGTGTCAGATACCACTAACTAATTTCGTTCCTACCTTCTGTACTCTTTCCAGGATATATGAATCCTTTTTGAAGCAGGGACTCACCGCTTGTAGGCAGTATTCTAGATGAGACCTGACATATGTTGCTTAGAGTATTTGGAACATACTCTCGTCTAATCGTTTGAAAGCCCTTCGAAGTGCCCATAGCATTCGAAAAGCCTTAGCTGTGGCTGCATTGCAATTTGCAGTTGTTGTCAAATCATTGCTGAGTAGGTCCTTCTGTCTATTAACATCAGGTAGTTATGTGTCCTCCAGGGAGTACAATGTATAAGACTTCTGACCTAAAGGCATTACCGCGCTTTCCTAGAATTAATTTCCAAACTCTACAGGTTTGACCACTCAGCTACTTTATCTAGATCAGTTTGTAGGGCCGACCTATCCTCGTTACTATTTACAGTTTTACAGATCTTAAAGTCTTCCGAAAATAATAATGAAAATGAAGTAAGAATTCCCGGTAGTTCATATTAGTAATAGCGAGGGGACTAACACAGTTCCCTGAGGCTCTTTACTGGATACTGCTCTCCACCCTGATAGTACACCGTTAACTCTAACCTTCTGCCTTCTATCCATTAGATAATCCCTAAACCACTCACATAGACATTGGTCTAGTCCTAAACCTTTAAGTTTACAAAGGAGACCTAAGTGGGGTACTTTATCGAATGCCTTACTAAGATCGATAAAAACCTCGTCCAACAGAAGGTTTTTATCTCTGGCCTCAACCCAATCTTCCCTAGCCAATAGTAGGTTTGTCAGGCAGGATCATCCTGGTCGGAATCCATGCTGTTCTACAGCCAGCAAGCTATGTTTTTCAACATGAGCTAATAGCTGATCCCTTATAATAGTTTCCAATACCTTTGCTATAATGCATGTCAGACTTACCGGCCTGTAGTTGAATACCAATTGTCTGTCCCCCTCTCTGATGAAAGGGCTCATTATGACATCTTTCCGGTCCCCGGACAGCTTAGCCTGGGTCAGAGACACTTGGAAAAAATCTCCGTAAGTGGAATATAGATTCTATCTGCCAAGGAAATTAACAATTTAGGGTGAAGTCCATCGGGCCCGGGTGATTTAATTGGCTTAAGTTTAGACAGTGGTATGATGACCTATGTGTGTTCTACCACAATTGAGGGCATCTGAGTGGAGGTGGCACATTACTGAGTGGTACGATCAGACGAGAAGACATCACAGAAGTATTCAGAGAGGTTTTCAACATTTCTTTCGTCTGACTCAGCCGTTTCTCCACTGATGCTTATGGGTGACGGTATACCACTGCTAGTTTTAGCCAAACGTTTAATATACGAGTACAGCCTTTTTGAGTAATGAACACCATCCAGTACTAGCCATCTCTCGTACTCCATACGACTCTTGTTAATCACATACCTACAGAGATTTCGAATTTCGTTGTAGTCTTTCTGGAAATTTTCCCTTCCTGTCATATTAAATTGGTCCCATAAGTTCTTCCTCCGTCTTACGATGAGAACACTTGCCAATGTAGTAGACTCCGATTTTGATGAAAGACAGAAGGCTTCGAGCACATGTTGATTCGTTTCTGTTCTCTGAGCCTGTTTGCTTTTATTTTTTAGGCACGTTCTTCACTCCATGTGGGATTTGGTTCCATGAATCAGTGGGTGAACCAATTGACCCACAAATGGATTGTTCGTTCATGGCCTTTGAACTCTCCTGTTATGTCTTCTGAAGGTTTTCTACATGGTGAAATGGAGCGAAGATAGAAAACCAAGTCTATAATCATTTCACAAAATCCTGAAAATTGCGTGCTTACGGCCATATAAGGAAAAAGGCCCAACTATATTGGTCATTTCCTATTCGGCAAACCCATCACTCCGTGAATATCATATTTGTTTCCCCCCTTGACTTTTGCCAGTATGCGTGGTGCAGATTTTATGTCAGAGATCTGTAGTACGATGCGATTTATGGTTAGAAGATGCATACATAGGGATGAAGGTCCTGTGCGTTTCTTAAAGTTTGCTAAAGCCTGAAGGTGCTAACGAACAATACTTCACTGTTTGCTTATGGCCATGAATTACTATAATATCTAGGTTTTCGTTTCAGGCTAAGGAAGTGGTATTGCTTCTCAATATAATGTGGTTTCTCACTTATATACTTTGATATTAAATACGTATTCCTTTGATAAACTTAACAAGGTACCGAAACCAGTTATGTACTTCCAGCTTTCCTCTCTTTTTTTCTAAACTGTCGTCAATTTTTCAGTCGACGATATAGAAAACGATAAAAGATTATGAGTACCTAAGCGATTCGTTAATATACAGAAGAAACAAAAGGCGGCTGAGTATAGTGGATAATGGAGCATTACTTCAAATCCCTTCAGTGTGTCATGCTAGCGGGGAATACTTTATTCATTAGTAACATGGCAAGGGACCTTTACAAAAATCTAGGAAGAAAATGTAGATCGGTTTCTTGTTAGCACTAGACTTGATCCAGTTTCTTCCTATTGTGGTGTGTACCACACAGGAGATGTTTTCTTGAAAACCATGATATGCATCCTTTAGTTATGTTATATAACTGTGAAGATGTTCTGGAAATCTCAACTTTCGTCCAGAACGCGCTTTCTTTGAGGGCTCGACAGAAGGTTCGGTGGCTTTCGCCGTGTTAGTGATTTCTCCGAGGACTAACGGATATTCAGTTACTTGCGTATTATTGGGAACGCTCAGTTCCAGGGTAATGGGATTGCCTTCTAAGTAGGCCGGTTTCAAACGGTCGGTGCTAACGGAGTCCTCGTGGCCATTTTGTCTTAGACGTTCTACCATACCATTAGCTTGAGGATGGCGGGCTGTTGTTCTAAAACGCATACAACCTATAATTTTAGTCGAGGCGAAGAATAAGCCGCTTTCGAATTGTCGCCCGTGATCAGTTGTTATGGAGGATGGGCATCCAAAGTTTGCGACCCATCGTTCGGCAAAGACGCGTGCGACTGTTTCACCTGATAAATCCTTGAGGGGTACTGCTTCAGGCCATCGTGTGAAACGGTCGATTCAGGTTAAGATGTAGATATATATCCATGAGATTCTGCAAGGAGTCCAAACAAATCTATGAACGTGTTCGAAACGAGAATCAGGGATAAGAAAGGTGCCAGGAGGGCTTTTGGTGTGTCTTACTACCTTGCACTTTTGGCAAGCTAAGCACGTGTGTGCCCATTCCCTTACTTCTTTGTTAATACCAGGCCAACAAAACCGACTAGTTACGAGCTAGGCAGTAGTTCGAATACCTGGGTGGGATAAGCCATGCAACGTACTGAAGACATTGCGATGTTAACTTTTAGGCACCTTGCAGGGAGGAGTACTCGTCGAAATGTCACATAAATTGTATTTCTTCTCATACCTAAGGGTTTCTCAGATAATTGCAGAGTTGTTTTCGACAACTCATGTTGGGGCTCGGTATCTTCTTTTTGAAGACGAGCCAGTCTATGCCATATATTTGGATGAGCGAACAAATGCGCGAAAAGACATCTACCACAGAAACTTTCACTCCGGATATATGGCGAATATCCGATGTAAACTGTGAAACGTAGTCCAGTTGTTGTGATTCCCCAGGTGAATACTTATCTGAGTTGAGTTCGGAAAGTACGTCAGAGGTTCGTGGTTAGTGAAAATTATAAATTCACGACCCTCCACTGAATGTCGAAAATGACGTATAGCACAGTACACAGCCAGAAGTCCTCTTCCGAATGTGCTGTACTTTGTTTCTGCTAATTGAAGGCGCCTCGAGAAAAAGGCGAGTGGTTGCCACTCTCTGTTGACTAGTTGTTGCAGAACTGAGCCATTCGCAGTGTCTGATGCATCAACTGAGATACTTAACGGTGCCATTGAGTCCTGATACATTAGAAGTGTGACATCCACGATAGCTTTTTTAACCAGAATGAAAACATTTTTAACAGACGTGTCAAGTTCGATTGACTTGTTATTCCTTCGAAGAAGGTCTGTTAGTGGCTGAATCAGAGAAGCACAGTTAGGGATAAAGCGTCAGTAATGAATTACTAAGCCGTTAAAACTGCGAAGAATTTTCAGTGTCTTTGGCTCCGGAAAGTTCAGAATCGCCCCAACTTTACTAGCCGGTGGACAAATACCCTTGCAGTCAATGGTATGGCCGAGGAAGTCTAGTGATTCTAATCGTATCTGACATTTTCCGCATAAAAATGGTAACACAGTTTCGGCGTTACCTTTCGAATGCCAAGTCCAACCGTCTAAGGTGAGTTTCCTTGTCTGGACTGGCAATGAGGCAGTCGTCTAAGTATGTGTGTACAAAGTCGAGACCGTGAAATACTCCGTCAATGAAGCGTTGGAATTTTTGTGCTGCATTCCGGAGACCGAATGGCACATGTAGAAATTCAAATGGTCCGGAAGGCGTAATGATAACCGTTTCCGGAACGTCTTATGGTGCCATCTGGCTTTGATTATTCGCTTCAACCAAGTCTATTTTCGAGGAAATAGTTGCACCAGATAATGTTGCCGTCAAGTCGTGTATGTGAGGCAATGGATAGAAATCAGGGGTTGTTTTGGCGTTCACTCGCCGGTAATCACCACTGGGTCGTCAGTC